TTGTAGTATAAATCTATTTGACTTGCCTTCTGGATCTCTTTTATTCCCGGCATCTCTTGCTGTGTACATATGTGTATGTATGTGTGCGTGATTAGCTTGAGAACATAGAAAATGGTGCTTCAGAAGGATTGTTAATAAACATTTGTTTCTTCTCTCATTTTTGGAACAAACAAACAAACATTGCAAACAGAAAGCAGTTGTAATGAGGGAAGGGGGATTATGCTTCACACTTTGCTTAAGAGATCAGCTTGGAAACAAACAATTTAATGGGTTGCTGTGAGTTTTCTGGGCTGTCTGGTCATGTTCCATAAGCATTCTCTCCTGACATTTCGCCCACATCTATGGCAGGCATCCTCCGGGATTGTGAGGTCTGTTGGAAACTAGGTGAGTGGGGTTTATATGCCTGTGGAATAATATTTAGAGTGAGAGAAAGAGGAAAGTGTAAATGTTGCAATTGGCCACCTTGATTAGCATTGAATGCCCTTGCAGCTTCAAACCCTGGCTATTTTCTACCTGGGGGAATCATAGAATCAAAGAGTTGGAAGAAACCTCATGGGCCATCCAGTCCAACCCCATTCTGCCAAGAAGCAGGAATATTGCATTCAAATCACCCCTGACAGATGGCCATCCAGCCTCTCTTTAAAAGCTTCCAAAGAAGGAGCCTCCACCACACTCCGGGACAGAGAGTTCCACTGCTGAATGGCTCTCACAGTCAGGAAGTTCTTCCTCATGTTCAGACGGAATCTTCTCTCTTGTAGTTTGAAGCCATTGTTCCGTGTCCTAGTCTCCAGGGAAGCAGAAAACAAGCTTGCTCCCTCCTCCCTGTGGCTTCCTCTCACGTATTTATGCATGGCTATCATATCTCCTCTCAGCCTTCTCTTCTTCAGGCTAAACATGCCCAGCTCCTTAAGCCGCTCTTCATAGGGCTTGTTCTCCAGACCCTTGATCATTTTAGTCACTCTCCCCTGAACACATTCCAGCTTGTCATTATCTCTCTTGAATTGTGCTGCCCAGAATTGGACACAATATTCCAGGTGTGGTCTAACCAAAGCGGAATAGAGGGGTAGCACGACTTCCCTAGATCTAGACACTATTGCTCCTATTGATGCAGGACAAAATCCCATTGGCTTTTTTTGCCGCCACATCACATTGTTGGCTCATGTTTAACTTGTTGTCCATGAGGACTCCCAAGATCTTTTTCACACGTACTGCTCTTGAGCCAGGCATCCTCTATTCAGAGGTGTTAGCGGGCCCTGATTGTTTTCTGTCGGATATCAGAAGAGCTGCAAGACCAAGAGTAAGCAATGAGAATAAAGAGAAAGATCCACCCAGAGGAAAAGTGTTCTTGCCATACATCAAAGGAAACACTGACTGCATAGGGAAGCTGATGAGGAAACACAACATACAAACTATTTACAGACCCACTAAAAAAATCCAACAAATGGTACATTCAGTAAAGGACAAGAGGGATCCTCTAACTTCTGCAGGAGTCTCCCGTATCCCATGCAAATGTGGACAAGTCTCCATAGGGACCACCAAACGCAGCAGCATTGCCCAGACACGAATCAAGGAACATGAAAGGCACTGCAGACTACTTCAACCAGAAAAGTCAGCCATAGCAGAGCACCTGATGAACCAGCCTGGACACAGCATATTATTGGAGAACATAGAAATGGTGGACCACTCTAACAACCACCATGTCAGATGACACAGAGAACCACTGAAATCCACAAGCATGTGGACAATTTCAACAGAAAGGAGAAAAGTATGAAAATGAACAAAATCTGGCTACCAGTATTTTTAAAAAAACTAAATAGTAAATAAAGAACAGCAAAGATAGTAAATAAAGAACAACACTCAGAAACAGGGGAATTCCATACAAGTGTCAATCAGAGCCAGCTAACACCTCCCAACAAAGGATTCCCCAGACAGGCTTTGAAACTGCAAGGCCATTCAATGTTAATCAAGCTGGCCAATTGCAACATTCACACATGCTTCAAGCAGACAAGAGTTCTTTCTCCCACCCTGAACATCATTCCACAGATATATAAACCTCACTTGCCTCGTTTCCAACAGACCTCACAACTTCTAAGGATGCCTGCCATAGATGTGGGGGAAACGTCAGGAGAGAATGCTTCTGGAACATAGACATACAACCCAGAAAACTCTCAGCAACCCAGTGATTCTTGACATGAAAGCCTTTGACAACACATCGGTTTTCTGTTTGTTAGCAGCAAAGTCAGCTTTATATTCCAAACCATACAATTCCTGACATTGAACTGCTGAAGGAAAGAATTCAGAGAGCCAGTTAATCTATGTGACAATATGGCTGTGTTTCTCAAATAATCTGCAATCTTCTTACCTTTTAGTGTACTTATTGAACTGTATTTTTATACAATATAGGGTTTTTTAAAGCCTTTACTTTCTTTTATTGTTTGCAAACTGATGAAGCAGGAGTCAAAGAGGCCTAGTGCTTGTTACTGTTTTATTGTATCTACTAGCTGTACCCGCCATGCGTTGCTGTGGCCAACCTTCCCTCTTTCTCTCCTTCTTTCCCTCCTTCCTTCACTCCCTCTTTCCTTCCTTCTTTCCTTCCCGTCTTTCCTTCTCTTCTTTCTTCCTTCTCTAGCTCTTTCCTTCCTTCCTCCTTTTTCTTTCTCTTCTACTGTCTCTCTTTTCTTCTTTCTTTCCTTCCCTCCCTCTTTCTCTACATCTTCCCCCATTCTTCGCTCCCTCTTTCCTTCCTTTACCCTTTTTTCTTTCCTTTTCTCCTTCATCTCTAACTTTCTTTCCTTCCCCCTTTTTCTTTCTCTCCCTCTTTCTCTCCTTTCTTTCTTCTCTACCTCTTTTCTTCCTTCCTTCCTTCTCTCTTTCCTTATTTCTTTCCCTCTTTCTTTTCTTTTCTTTTCTTTCTTTCTTTCTTTCTTTCTTTCTTTCTTTTCTCCCCTTCCCTCCCTCTTTACTCCTTTTTTCTGTATTGTCATTTAGCTTTTGGGGGCTTTTTTAGTCCCTTCTGTTGTGTTTTTCAGTGTTTTATGAGTGAAGGACATACATTGGGTTGTTAGGTGTCTTGTGTCCAAATTTGGGATCAATTCGTCCAGTGGTTTTTGAGTTGTGTTAATCCCACAAACGAACATTACATTTTTATTTATATAGATTTTTATATTGTATACTTCAGATGTTTTCGTCTTGTTACGATCTAACCCTTTTTAAGGCAACAGTTTACAAAAAGAGCTCCCATTCATGTTGTTGTTGTTGTTGTTGTTGTTGTTGTCATGCCTCTTGCTTTAAAGTAACAGGCAGGGTTTGCATTCTTCCTTTTGCTGCAATGATTTGCTAGAGCGACACTTGAGAAATCCTGACTTAGAGCCATGAAAGGAAGGAACCGTTGCGTGTTGCAAAACCTTCTGTAAGCCCCTGTTGATGTTGCAGGGCGTATTGGTTTACATCAGCGGTATTTGAGCCCAACAGTGCTGCTTAAGGGCTTCGCTCAGATTGAGTTCCATGCCCTTGCATGCTCAGTTCTGCACTCCGGGTGTTGTTAATCTCATAATTCCAACAACGTTTGCAAAAGAGTCATAACAGGCCTGATAGGAAGACAAATTGGTCATCTGAAGCACTCTTAGCCGACTTTAACTATCCTTAAAACAGTTTGCTATAGGCAAACCAGTTTGGTACTGAATAGAAATGGTGTTTACTGGTTAGAGCAAACATGGGCAAAGTTTTTAACTTGGGGACTGCATGGCATGCTGGAGCGGGGTGGGTGGGCCAGGAGAAAGGAGGTTCTCTCCAAGCCCTGCCTTTTCCTCCCCTTCCTTTTCCCTTTCGGAGGCAGAAAGTGAAGGAAAGTTGAGAAACTTTTGGAAGGGTTAGCCTTCCTCAGGTTGAGATGTTGGATGGGAAAGAAAAGGTTATGCATTAGACCTCGTATTGCCTAATCGAGTCAGATTAAACCGCTGAGCTGCTGAACTTCCTAACCGAAAGGTCAGCAGTTCGAATCCGGGAAGTGGGATATGTTCCCAGTGCTAGGCCCAGCTTCCGCCAACCTAGCAGTTCAAAAACATGCAAATATGAATAGATCAAAAGATACTGCTTCTGCGGGAAGGCCACAGCGCTCCATGCAGTCATGCCAGCCACATGACCTTGGAGGTATCTATGGACAACGCCAGCTCTTCAGCTTAGAAATGGGGATGAACACCAACCCCAAGAGTTGGACATGAAAAACTTAATGTCAAGGAAAAAGCTTTACCTATTTATTTATTTTTTGTCGTGTCAGGAGCTTCTGGTGTGAGAGAATTGGCCGTCTGCAAGGACATTGCCCAGGGGACACCTGGATGATTTCATATTTTTATCATCCTTGTGAGAGGCTTCTCTCATGTCCCCGCATGAGGAGCTGGAGCTGCTAGAGGGAGCTCATCCGCCTCTCCCCAGATTCGAGCCTGCGACCTGTCGGTCTTCAGTCCTGCCGGCACAGGGGTTTAACCCACTGCGCCACCTAATAATAATAATAATAGAGCAAAATAATGGAAATGTAATAATAACATTGATAAATACAGTAAAATAATAAATGTAATAACAATAATAAAGTAAAATAATAAATGTAAGAATAATAAAGAGAGTAAAATAATGGAAATTAATAATAACAATAATAATAGAGTAAAATAATGGAAATGTAATATAATAATGAATAGAGTAAAATAATGGAAATGTAATAATACAAATAATAAATAACCTTGACTCGAGTGTAAAGGGGTTTTTTGAGCCTGAAAAAGGGCTGAAAACTCAGCTTATATTTGAGTCTATAGGTTATGTGGAGAAGTTTGCGGTCTGAAAATTGGTGGCCCGCAACCCCTTAGTAGCCTTTTTTTGTTTTATTTTCATCAAGTCATGGTATATATACAAAATGTCATTCATACCAATGAATTGTTTGCTCTCTTTAAAGTAGCATCACACAATTTAAGCCCTACTCTATAAAAATACTTCTTTTGTGCCCATTGCAGGTCACACTTCACATCAGAAGACATGGACAGCAGCAGTTTCATCCAGTTTGATGTTCCTGAGTACAGCAGCACCGTACTGAGCCAGCTGAATGAGCTTCGCCTGCAGGGAAAGCTTTGTGATATCATTGTGCACATCCAGGGTCAGCCCTTCAGAGCTCACAAAGCCGTTCTAGCTGCCAGTTCTCCCTATTTCCGCGACCATTCAGCATTGAGCACCATGAGTGGCCTGTCAATATCAGTCATCAAGAACCCCAATGTCTTTGAGCAGCTGCTCTCTTTTTGTTACACTGGAAGGATGTCCTTGCAGCTGAAGGATGTTGTCAGTTTTTTAACCGCCGCTAGTTTTCTACAGATGCAGTGTGTCATCGATAAGTGCACGCAGATACTGGAAAGCATTCATTCGAAGATCAGCGTTGGCGAAGTCGATTCCGTCACCGTGGGGGGCGAGGACCCTCCAGAAAATCACAACGGAGTGAAAGACAGTAGTTACTTTGCCAATCCCGTCGAAATCTCTCCTACGTATTGTCCCCGGGTGCGGCAGTCTGCATCTGGGTGCGACCTCCAAATGGAAACAACTCCAACGAAGGGCCTGCATAGCCGCCTCCAAGAAGAAGGGCATTCGGACCGCGGAAGTAGCGGGAGCGTTTCCGAATACGAGATTCAGATCGAAGGCGATAATGACCAAGCTGACTTGGTCATCCGAGAGAGCCCGGCCGCCGAGGTCAAAGTCAAAATGGAAAAAAACGACCGGCCGAGTTGTTCGGATAGCTCTTCACTGGGCGATGATGGATACCATACGGAAATGGTCGATGGGGAGCAAGTGGTGGCCGTCAACGTTGGCTCCTATGGCTCCGTTTTACAGAATGCCTACTCGTACTCTCAAGGGACGTCCCATTCTGCTGGAATATCGGAATCCTTTGGAAGCCTGAGGAACTCGAGCTCTTCGCGGTCCATGCTGGGCTCTTTCCGAGGCCGAGGGCGCCAAAAGCGGGTCTCTGCGAGCCACTTGCATAGCGACATCCCAACCCTGGCGCAAGGAGGAGATGGCGAGTCGGCAGGAAGCCAACCAAGCTACGATGACAGTCCGAGGGAAAGGAATGTCAGAGGTCACTGGTACGCCTACAGCGAAAGGCTCATCTGTATATACTGCGGGAAGTCTTTCAACCAGAAAGGGAGTCTCGATCGGCATATGAGGCTACACATGGGGATAACCCCCTTTGTGTGCAAGTATTGTGGGAAAAAGTATACGCGCAAAGACCAGCTGGAGTACCATATCCGCGGACACACTGACGACAAGCCTTTCCGCTGCGAGGTTTGTGGGAAATGTTTTCCTTTCCAGGGAACCCTGAACCAGCACCTGCGCAAGAACCACCCCGGGGTGGCGGAAATAAGGAGCCGAATGGAGTCTCCGGAAAGAACAGAGGCCTACGGCGAACCGAGAGAGGACGACGCCTCGGCCTCTGAAACCTTGGATTACAGCATGGACATGCACACGTCGGATTGAAAACATCTGCGTCCCCTCGGCACAGCCCAAGCAAAAGCACATCGATCAACGCATTTCCTTCTTGTTGCTTTTGATCGTTTTGTCAACAGATGACAACAGCATTGGGATTTCCCTTCCCTTTTTTGTTTTGTTTTATGAGCAAGTCTTGTGGATGTTGTTTCTGAGTAGAAAGCTAATGTTTTGTTTTGAAGGAAGTAGGGGTAGCTTTATTCCCTAAAGATTTTATATATACATACATACATATATATATAAAGGGAGAAAATATTATAGAAATGATGCACTTGCAGTGGGTGGGGCTATGGCAATGACAGATAAATAAGGCAAGTATTAGAGGCCAACACACTGCGAGAGTGTGTTGTGCTTTGTGCACCCAATCCTGTTGCATGTCTACTTGGAAAGAAGTCCCACAAATTCAGTTGGACTTACCGTATATACTCAAGTATAAGCCGACCCAATATAAGCCAAGGAACCTAATCTTATCACAAAAAACTGGAGAAACTTATTGACTTGAGTTTAAGACGAGGGTGGGAAATGTAACAGCTACCAGTCAATTTCAAAATAAAAATAGATACCAATAAAATGATATTAATTGAGGCATCGGTAGGTGAAATGTTTTTGAATATTTACCGCATTTCAAAGAAAAACAGTAAAGTATCTCTGTAAGTAGAAAAGTAGGGTCAACAAAAACAATATGGTATCCACTATAATTTTATTATAATAATAATACTTGATTTGTATCCTGCCCTATCTCCCCATATGGACTTAGGCTTGCTTCCAATATAGTAACAGGCAAACATTCAATGCCTATATAAAAATAATGTATACATATAGATACAGATACATGGAAATCTCTAGATATCTATATGTATATAGGATTTGCAAAGACTTGCAAACATATGAGGGGGAAATTCATATATAAAATTAATGTATATAGTTAGATACAGATATATAGGTACATAGGGATTGCAAAGGCTTGCAGGGGGGAATGCCTATATAGCTGTAGGAGAGATTAACAAGTATTACAGGGGGAAATTCTTTTGTAAGATGAATGGCTATCCCTGACTTGCAAGGACTTCTCTCCCTCTCCAGCGAGCGAGGGAGGATTTGGAAAAGAAAACACACTGCTAAGGGAGGGGAAGAGGAGAGGGAAATATATCATATATTGCAAGCAATGACCTCCAGGCTCCGCTTCCCAGCTTGACCCCATTATAAGCTGAGGGAGGTTTTTTCAGCCCTGAAAATGGGGCTGAAAAACTTGGCTTATCTTTGAGTATATACGGTAACTCCTGGTCCATCTGCTAGGATTGCAGCCTTAACCAAACAAATGCATAGGAATGCCTCCCAGAGATCCCATCCATGTGTCATACTAAGTTCGGGGCTTGGGTGGGTTTTATTTGTTTGTTTTTTTTTGGAGTAACTATTTTGATAGCTTTGAATTTTATATAATATATATTATTATTATTATATATAAACGTATATAAAATGTTCACTTTTTTCTCTTCTGGTTGAGGGTGAATGTAGAAATACCTTTACATGGGAAAAGAGGGGGGGAAAACCTCTCTACAAGACTTTCAACTGTTAATATATATATATATATATTTCTTTTTGGGGGGAATGTTTTCATGAAGCTTTCCTTCCCTGCTGTGCGCAATTCTTGTGTCCAAAAGTGAACAAACCTTATTCCGGAATAAGGTTTGCTCCATAGCATACATAAACCAAATGCCATAAATGTATTAACTTACGATGGGGATTGTTTGGGGGCTTTTTAAAAATATCTTGTCTAGATTACAAACTGGACAACCTGTGGTGCTGAATCCCCTCTTTTGTACAAAAAAAGTGTTGTTATATTAGCCAACCCAAAAGTAGCATTGTGGTTTTAGCTGTTTTGTACTACTCCTCAGAATCTACCTTCATAATCGTACTGTAGAAGCATAACAGGTGAATCAAGCTTACCTTAATCACTCTTGAGTTGATGTAACAGTCGACTTAAAGAGATGTTGTTGGGAAATCTACAGTATTTCAGATCAGTATTCTCGCAGGTTCTCTTCCAGAGAGCTCTTTTTCAGGTGCGTCGTGAATTTCTTGTTTACCATTTTCCAGTAAAGCTGAAGCACTTGTATTTTTACTTTTTCTCTAATGATAATATGTTGGAATTATGAGCAATATCTCCCGTTGTATTAGATAAGGTTGGGGTCGGGGTTGTTTTCGCCGTAATTACAGTGGCTGCTCCGTATTTTTTTTCCGCAGGGCCAATAAGTATCTTTACACACACGCTATATACGAGGGACGTTCATGGAAGATTTCCCCTGACCCACTTCCTGTGTACTGAGAGCAATGAAACTTGGCCCACTTCTGAGTCCTTCTCTCCATCGGTGCCACCTCGGGACACACACTTCTCCCATCTTTTTAAGCAACACCTCACTTGTAGAAGTTGACAGGTTGCTCCAAAAGCCACGTTGTGACTTTGGAAATCAGAGTCTCGTCATCTAAAAAAGGCTTGCCCTTCCAAAATAACTTCCTTGTTGGAAAGAGGTGGAACTCCAATGGTGTGAGGTCGGAGGAATAAGGTTTCTCAGCTCCAACTGTGTTGCTGTGGATTAATCTTCTCTGAAAGAATACGCCAAGATGCACAAGGGCTGAAGATACCAAACGACTTTATTGTTCAGAATACTGCCGGTCTATATAGGCCTAGCTACAACACCATAAATCACTCAAAAGTCATGGAGAATGGAGCTTGCCCCTTTCCACATTCTAGAGCCCACTTTTCCCCCACCTTGGGTCAATTGACTTTTATGGCTGATTCATGTGTCCTGTCCTCCCTTTTGGCCCATAGCCATGCGCTGTGTGTTGAATGGCATAAGATAGAGATCATGACACCCATCCTTTTAAGCAACTGTAAACACCTCGCTTGTAGAAGTCAACAGGTTGCTCCAAAAGCCACGTTGTGACCGGAAATCAGGGTCTCCTAATCTGAAAAATGCTTGCCCTTCAAACATAACTTCCTTGTTGGAAAGGAGTGGACATCCGATGGTGCAAGGTCAGGGGAATAAGGGTGATGTGGTCGAATTTCAAGCCAGAGGAGCATGCTTCTTCCATTTGGGCAACATGTGAACTGGTGCATTGTCTTGCAGAAGGCAGACCCTTTTAGTGAGCATGCCACATTGACTCTTGGTTTTGATGGCCTCCCGCAATTTCTACAGCAGTGAAGGATAGTCTGCCCCAGTGATCATGGTCCCCTTTGCTAGGAAACCCATCAATCCTACTCTGCTTGTCCCAAAATACTGTGAGCATGACTTTACATGCCAGGAGTTGGGCACATGCCTTCTTTGGAGATGGAGAGTCATGATGTTTCCATTGCATCGACTGGACTTGAGTCTCGGGATCAGAGCGATGGATCCAGCTTTCACCCTGTGTGATTAGTTTGTTGAAAAGGTCCTCCTGGTTTCCATGGCACATCATTGTCAAGAGAGCCTGAGAGCATTCGACTCGTTCCTGCTTCTGGAAAGGTGTGAGCAGCTGGGGGACCCAGCGAGCGGATACCTTATGCATGAGAAGGTGGTCTTGGATTATATTTTCCATGGACTCCACACTCATCTTGAAATTTTGGGCAAGGTGGTGATTTTCCAAAATGGTGATCTCCACTTGCTGGATGGTGTGTTCATCAATAGCAGAGTCGCCCTGGAATTGGAGCTGTTTGCACCGAAGTCCGGCCACATTAGAATGGATGATTCCAGTTCTTGACTCCATCATATGATGGGGAATCCTCACCATCAACCTCTTTCATCTCATCTAACGTCTCTAAAGGAACTTGGTGATTGCTCTGTATTCCGCTGGGTCCATTCTCAAACCTCACACCACTTCAGCACCTCTAACATCGAGACCGTTGTCAGTCCTGAATTGTAAATTGGCAGGAAACCTATAGAGACTTAGAGCATTATACATGTGCATTTTCAGCATCCTGTGATAAATAGAAGTGGGTCAGGGCCAATCTTTCATGAATGCCCCTCATATATCTTGTTTTATCTATCTACACTTGGTAACTTCCTAATACGGTGCTATTTCTCTCTCTCTCTCATAAAACAGCATAGCATAGAAAATAAGAAAGCTTAAGTTGCATAGCTTTCCAGATTGCTTAAAAACAGACCTCAAAATTGTGAGCTGGCAAATGTTACTGTATGGAAACTCTACATCATATTGTTTTTCTGAAGTGTATACTTGGTATAGTCAGGCTTGGCAAAATGAGATGCTTTCCTCTTTTTGTATTGTGTTGAGTTGGGAAGAAAACTTTTGAGTAGCACAAGATTTATTTGCTGTTTGTCTGGAATTGCCTATCTGGATGCATAAAGTGGTTTATAGCAATGCATTGTTGAAGGCTCTCACGGCTGCAAACACTAAGTTGCTGCGAGTTTTCCAGGATGTCTGGCCATGTCCAGAAGCATTCTCTCCTGACATTTCACCCACATCTATGGCAGAGGTTATGAGGTCTGTTGGAAAATAGGCAATTGGGCTTTATATATCTGTGGAATAATGTCCAGGGTGGGAGAAAACACTTGTCTATTTGAGGCAGGTGTGAATGTTGCATTTGGCCAGCTTGATTAGCACTGAATGGCCTTGCAGCTTCAAAGCCTGGGTGTTTCCTGCCTGGGAGAATCCTTTGTTGGGCGGTGTTAGCTGGCCCTGATTGTTTCTCTTTTTTGAGTGCTGTTCTTTATTTACAGTCCTGATTTTGGGGTTTTTTTAAATACTGGTAGTCAGATTATGTTCATTTTCATGGTTTCCTTTCTGTTGAAATTGTCCACATGCTTGTGGATTTCAGTGGCATCCTTTGTAGTCTTGATTGTTTCAGTTAGGAAACAATGAGAGCCAACGAATCCCTCCCAAACAAGGATTCCCCCAGATAGGAAGCAACCAGGCTTTGAAGCTGTAAGGCCATTCAGTGCTAATTAAGGTGGCCAATCACAACATTCTTACTTGCCTCAAACAGAGAAGAGTTCTTTCTCCCGCCCTGGACATCATTCCACAGATATATATATATACAGTCTCACGTGCCTAGTTTCCCACATACCTCTATGCAGATGTCCTCACTGATTGACTTTGCAGCTGCAAGGCCATTCAGTGATAATCAAGGTGACCAATTGCAACATTCACACTTACCTCAAGCAGACTAGAGGTTTTTCTCCCACTCTGGACATTATTCCACAGATATATAAACCCCATTTTCGTAGTTTCCAACAGACCTCACAACCTCTGAGGATGCCTTGGGCAAAACGTCAGGAGAGAATGCTTCTGGAACATGGCCATACAGCCCCAAAAATTCCCAACATCCCAGGTTTATAGCAGTTTGATGAAGCTAGGTAGAGAGTCAAGGCATAAAGTCATGGGATTTGTTTGCTTTACTTTGTTCGGGGAATATAGCATTATTGCGACTCCAGTTTCCCCTTTGCTTGAGCTTCCAGCTCATCACTTGCACGTCATAACTTGCTGCTTCTGCTCAAAGCCAATTGGACAGATGTAGGATTTATTTTTTCCCTTCTTTGCTATACAAAACGGTGGGAACGAGTGACTCCTAGGAATCTAGTGACACCTCTGTCAAATCAGCAGTTTGAGAACATGTGAATGAATGTCTTGCTGACTTCCAAGCATATTTATTATTTTTTATATTTTAGTACATTGACATGTCTGAATCTGAGCCTCAGCTTTAGTCCTTGTATGATTCCCTAGGCTTCTCTAACAACTGTGAATTTTAACCCAAGAAGACGCATGTGGCTTTCCTTGTTTTGGAGTTTCCTAACCCTTTAGTGATGTTTTCTTTCCGTGAAGGCTTCTTGCATATTTGAAATGTATTTTTCTGTGGTTTAAACACTGAAAACACAGCTGTGGTTTTGCTTTGGATGGATGGCTGGCATATAATGACTGGAGCTTGTGAACATCTATTCTGAAAAGTACTCTATTTGGGCTATATACACTTCTGGTTTTTCTTCTCCTGGTTTCCATTGATTGAGAGATGCATTTTCTGGCTTGCAGTGGTTTAAGGGGCTCAAAGCGTTGTTTGGTATTTTAATGAATCTAGCCAACTTGGAAAATAGAGTGTTGCCTTTTTTTTTTTTCATTTTGGGTAATCAGGATTAGTGTAACTAACTGCACGCATGTTAAATCAGGTTTAAATTGCATCAGCCCTCTCATTATTAAGCTGCCCAAGAATCCTCCTTTCACATCTCTAAAGTGAATGTTTTATTGTTGTTTCAACAACCAGAAATAAGAATCAGTATCCGAATGGTCACAGACAGCTTTTGTACAGTAGAGTCTCACTTATCCGACATACACGGACTGGCCGAACGTCGGATAAATGAAAATGTTGGATAATATGCAGTCTCCTAGTGTTGCTCCTACTGTTACCTAAAATACTAACAACAGGGACTCAAAGGGTTAAGGCAAGGCAATGCTTCAGGGCTAGAAGGGCCCAACAGGAAGTGCCCGGATGTAGAAGAGGAGCGTGGAAATCACAAAAGGAAGGAGGGAGGACGCTTCCACTTCCAGTCCTGCCTCATTTCCCCTTTTCCTCCCTCCTACTCTTCTTTGTCTTGCTTTTTTCACTTATTAGGAATGGAGAGCGTTGGGGAAATTATTATTATTATTATTATTATTATTATTATTATTATTATTATTATTTAATGCATTTCTACCCCGCCCATCTCCCCCCGAAGGGGGACTCAGGGTGGCCTCACACAAGCAATAAGCATCATGTGATGCTATCATCATATAAACAATCAAAAATTACATTTAAAACAGTAAAAACCATTAAAAACATACAAATTCATTAAACAATAAATTAAACATGTCAGTTAAAACCAAGTCCAAATCAGGGTAAATCCAATGTTGCAGATAGATCCAACGTTGCCTGGTCCCAAAGCCAAGTCTTCAGTTGTCTTCTAAAAGACAGGAGGGAAGTGGCCAACCTGATGTCCTTAGGGAAAGAGTTCCACAGATCGGGGGGGGGGGGGGTGGCACTGCCAAGAAGGCCCTGTCTCTCGTCCCCACCAACTACGTTTGTGAAAGTGGTGGGATCGAAAGCAGGGCCTCTCCTGACGATCTTAAACTTCGTGATGGTTTGTAACAGGAGATATGTTTGGACAGGTAATCTGGGCCAGAACTGTTTAAGGCTTTAAAAGTTAAAACCAGCACTTTGAATTGTGCTCGGAAGCTGATCAGCAGCCAGTGGAGCTGGCATAATAGAGGAGTTGTACGCCGCTCCAGTGAGCAACCTGGCTGCTGACTGTTGGACTAGTTGAAGCTTCCGAGAAGTCTTCAAAGGCAGCCCCACGTAGGGAGCGTTGTAGTAGTCTATTTGGGATGTTGGAGGAAAAGAGGGGCATCGGATAAGAACGTCGGATAAGACGGAATGTCGGATAAGCAAAAGTTGGATAAGCGAGACTCTACTGCACTGCATCTTTTCTCCCTGTTTAGTATGAAATTGAGGGGCCTGTTGGGGATTTTGTAGGCCCCTATGGATCCTTTGGGTAGATTTAATCTCTGCTCTTGCAAAGACATACAAAGATACCATATATACTCAAGTGTAAGCCGACCCAAATATAAACCTAGACACCTAATTTAATCACAAAAAACTGGGAAAACATATTGACTCAAATCTAAGTCGGGGGTGGGAAATGCAGCAGCTACTGGTAAATTTCAAAATAAAAATAGATACCCATAAAATTGCATTGATTGAGGCATCAGTAGGTTAAATGTTTTTGAATATTTCCCATATTTCAAAGAAAAACAGTAAATTAGCTGGAGCTGACAGACAGGAGCTCTACCCGCTCCCTGGATTCAAACCACCAACTTTTTGGTCAGCAGTCCTGGCAGCACATGGGTTTAACCCATTGCGCCAACGGTATCTTTTGCTGAAATAGTCTTGCATTTGACAGACCTTCCACTAAAACCCAAGCCAGGCAGAGTTACAAATTGTCTCCTTTGGACTGGTGCTGTGGTGCCTTTAAAGCCAGTTGGTTTCTTCCATAGTATCCTGAATTAAAGAAGAAAGGGTCAATTAACTTTGTGTGGTCCCTGACTTTCCCCTACTGTGTTTGTCTTAAGAACTCTTCTCAGTTTATCAACTTGTTTGAGCTGGTTTCGGTTTACCAAAGAGTGACTTACCCAAAATTCTGCAGAGTTCCAATTTTACAGCTTTCAGAATCAAAAACTTATATTGAGACTGTTAATAGCCTAATAGTGATTGGCAATTTCCTCAGGCCATTTTTGATAGTTCGATGTCTTGCTCACTCGTGTCAATACGTTATTTATCCCTTCCTCCTGCTTCCTGGGGTTAAGAATTATTATCAAGCCATAATACAGTACTGTAAAGATCAGAGGGAGCTTCTTAGAACATGCAAGCAGGTCTGAGTGGAATCGAACCAGGACAAGTTAACGTACTTGTTTTATATCCAGTGGGATGTAAGCTTGGCTAAAGAATGCTGCACACAAGTCTCCCTCAGCGCTTTTTGGCAGCAGGGCAGAGCAAGAAATCGGTTAAATCTCAGTCTTGAATGTGCATTGGGATGGACAACGTGTAGACCAAGCAATCTCAAAGTATGGATGAAGGGCGTTCACTAAAGATTTCCCCGGACCCACTTCCTGTGGACTGAGAACAATGAAACTTGGCCCAGTTCTGAGTCATTCTCTCCATGGGTGCCACACTTCTCCCATCTTTGTAAGCAATGTAAACACCTTGCTTGTAGAAGTTGACAGGTTGTCCAAAAGCCACGTTGTGACTTTGGAAATCAGGGTCTCGTCATCTGAAAAAGGCTTGCCCCTTGAAAAATAACTTCCTTGTTGGAAAGAGGTGGAAGTCCCGATGGTGCGAGGGTGGGTGAGTAAGGGATGCAGTTGAATTTCAAAGCCACAGGAGCCATTTGGACAGCGTGTGAGTGGTGAACTAATGCATTGTCTTGCAGAAGGCGGACATCTTTGATGAGCATGCCACATTGTCTCTTGGTTTTGATGGCCTCCAGCAATGTCCACAGCAGTGAAGCCTAGTCTGCCCCAGTGATCATGGTCCCCTTTGCTAGGAAATCCATCCATACGTCTCTGTGCTGGTCCCAAAATACTGTGAGCATGACCTTGCCTGCCAAGAGTTGGGCATGTGCCCTCTTTGGAGGCGGTGAGTCATGATGCTTCCATTGCATCGACTGGACTTTAGTCTCAGGATCAGAGTGATGGATCCAGCTTTCCTCCTGTGTGATCAGTCTGTTGAAAAAGTCCTCCTGGTTTCTGTGGCACAACATTGTCAATAGAACCTGAGAGCATTCGACTCGTTCCTATTTCTGGAAAGGTGTGAGCAGCCGGGGGACCCAGAGAGTGGATACCTTATGCATCTGAAGATGGTCTGGGATGGTTTTTCCACGTACTCCACATGTACGACTCCATGCTGGTCCCAAAATACTGTGAGCATGACCTTGCCTGCCAAGAGTTGGGCACATGCCTTCTTTGGAGGCGGTGAGTCAGGATGCTTCCATTGCATCGACTGGACTTGAGTCCCAGGATCAGAGTGATGGACCCAGCTTTCACCCTGTGTGATCAGTCTGTTAAAAAAGTCCTCATAGTTTCCATGGCACATCATTGTCAAGAGAGCCTGAGAGCATTCGACTCATTCTTGCTCCTGGAAAGGTGTGAGCAGCTGGGGGACCCAGCAAGCGGATACCTTATGCATGTGAAGATGGTCTTGGGTGATTTTTTCCATGGACCCCACACTCATCTTGACATGTTGGGCTAGGTGGCAAATGGTTATGCGGCAGTTTTCCAAAATGGCGTCCACCACTTGCTGGATGGTGTGTTCCTCAATAGCAGAATCACCCCGGAATTGGAGCTCTTTCCACCGAAGTCCAGCCACATTGGAATTGACAATAGCAATTCTTGACTCCATCATATGAAGGGGAATCAACACCATAAACCTCTTTCATCTCATTGAATGTCTCCTTTGTTGTACAGCCTTTCAAGTCACGGAACTTGAGGACTGCTCTGTATTCCACTAGGTCCATTATCAAACCTCAAACTACTTTAGCACCTGTACCATCAAGACCGTTCTGAGTTGTAAATTGGCACGTAACCTATACTTATATCATTATACATATGCCGTTTCAGTGTCCTGTGGTAAATAGAAGTGGGTCAGAAGACATCTTTAATGAACGCCCCCTGTAAGAAACCAACAAACAATACACTTCAAATTGAGATGCCGCCGCATCTAAAACGTGCCTTGTCACATCATGGTCATAGGGTAATATCTCTGTATCCATTCAAAGTTCATCCCTTATGTCCATCCAGATGTGAAGCATGCCGTAAACTATTTTCAATAATTTAGTGGGAAAGTGAAAACCTACAGATTGGTGAACAGTTTTTGGTTGGTTAATAATAATGCAGAAATTGAAGAAGCAGGGGTTTGAAACTTTGGGTTGAAGTATGTGAATTTCTACAGATTGCTTCATAATTGAGTCTCTTAATCTACCTTTTAGCTATATAGACAATGTGAAAAAAAAAAACACCCAGCAACAGTGTCCTTTTTATTTTTACTTTCAATGTTTTAACCTTCTATACAAACTGTGAAAAAGGAAATTTTATACTTCTTTGTGAACCTTTGTGGTTTGGAGCCACGGTGGATTTCTTTTTCCTAACCGACTTACCTTCCATATAGTTTTTACTGAAGTTGTAAATAAACTCAAGATGATAGCTCTGTAAATAAGTGGGTTTTGAAAAAATACAAAATTAGACAGCTGATTCTGTATTAAAGTGTGAATGCTTTTAGCGGCAGGAAGGATACTGTCTATTCACTGTTTGGACAGGATTTACTGTAAGTCGAAGCCAGGGCTGATCCTCTCAAGAGGAAACTTGTGGGGTTGCAGTAGCCTTACATAGGGATGTTTTAGGGTATAATGTATTCCTGTTGTGTTTTGCTCATTTGGGGTGTTGCAAACATAATGGGCCTGATTGGGGTCAGATTTCCGCATCGAAGCAAATCATGGTTTGTGTTGAATATGGTTCTCAACCTGTGGGTCCCCACGTGTTTTGGCCCACAACTCCCAGAAATCCCAGCCAGTTTACCAATTAGGTTCTTGTGGGTTTTTTCAGGCTATAGGGCCATGTTCTAGAGGCATTTCTCCTGACGTTTCGCCTGCATCTATGGCAAGCATCCTCAGAGGTAGTGAGGTCTGTTGGAAATAGGACAACAGACCTCACTACCTCTGAGGATGCTTGCCATAGATGCAGGCGAAACGTCAGGAGAAAAATTGCCTCCAGAACATGGCCATAGAGCCCGGAAAAACCCACAAGAACCTAGTGATTCCAGCCATGAAAGCCTTCGACAATACAGTTTACCAACTGTCAGGATTTCTGGGAGTTGAAGGCCAAAAACATCTGGGGACCCACAGGTTGAGAACCACTGGCTTAGGTGATGACCAAACATGATCGCATGAGTCATTCCATGCCAAGTGGTCTAAAATTTTTAAAAGTTCCCACCATCATGTTCTCCAACTTTGTTCAAATTTTAGCTGTAGCGTTAATCAGGTTGTAAACTAAGTTTCCCAAAATGTGAGGTCTCTAACTGGTGGGGGTGCTGGTTGCAGTGTGATAACCGGTAATGGCTCAGTCATCCTGGACCAATGCAATATGCCATGCACACAAAATACAATACATTGTGTATCTCCATTGCCATAGAAGCCACACCAAAACATCTGGAGACCCACAGGTAGGCAGTTGTGGAAACAATCCCGAGACAAACCAGAGTTGTGATTTTGGACATCACAACAAATCGTAGTTGAAATATAAACCAACAACAACAAACCATGGTTTGTGGTTAATTCATAGAGACTTCTCCTGCCTCATGTTCCAGTGGTTAAGACTGATAATGTGACAATATTAACTGTAGTTGAGACTCGTTCTTACTCAGTTTGAGAGTCCTGGTTAAGAATAATCATTAGGGCTATAACCTGGTTAGGTGTGATCAATTTTAAAATGAGATGGGCCACTCAACATTCGGCCTTTTATGTTAGTCACATCTCAAGTGACACAAGTGAAGGCTGCTCCAAACCCACTTCTTGAGTCTGAATGCTCCTGGCCTAAACCTCTTTCTTTAGAAGTCTCTTATAATTCCCAGACTCAACATCCAGAAGTCTTTTCATTGGTTTCTACATAAAATTAAGTTGTGATTTCAAATTACTCATATTCACTAACATGCAGATAGCAGATTTCTTTTTTAAGGGCTGGGAAAAGATGGTGTGGTTGAGCTTTACAGAAATGTATCTTGAATTATGTTTTGTTACCTATTTCGTTTACTGTGACTACGGACTTCTTTCTTTCTTTTGTCGTCATCTGAAGCGGGTTTCACATTGAAGCCACTGAAAAAGGGACTCAAATATGCAACACCTAATCTATTTTCTAAGGGAATTTTTTCCCCCTCGAATGGTGCTTTTAGACTGGTCAGGGTTATTTATTAAATTTTTTATATATTTTAAAACTATTTGGGAATTGTGTAAATCCTTTATATATATAAATATATATAAATCTATATATATGAATCTATTTAGTTCATGAATTGTAAACAACCGTAATACTCAGCAACTGGACCCCAAAAAGTTCAGTGAAGTCATTCAGATTGTTCAGAGTTTTTGGCAGTCATGTATCACTTCCAAGCAAACACCTTGACAGGTAGTTCAATGCACTCTTGTTTATACTGAACCTTCCTAAAAGCAGTGCATTAATCCAGATTCATATACATTAAGTTTATGCTCAAGGGTGCATTAATTCACTGTGTCACTGTTCCAAACTGACGTCTGAGAGCATTCTCTCCTGTCCTGGAACAAAATAGATTTTGGTTGTATATAACCTGTTCATGAAGGAATACAGGACATGGCTATCTCGCTGCTGGTACGCAACAGTGGTTTTCAAAACTATTTGGTGGTTGGTTGCTCCTTTGAAAGCTTAAGGTGAGCTTTCCAATGAGAAAACGCTTGAGTGTCTGACTGTTTTAATCTCCAGCCACTAAGGAGAGTTGTCAACCGCACGTTATGACATCCTCATGTCACAAAAGGCCTGGCTGAAATGAAGAATGCGTCCTAGAGCGGAGGTGGGCAGACATCAGGATGAAACATTCTTATGTTTTAGTTGGAAGTTTGGTGCCTGAGGCTCTATCTACCCTGCCAAGTCATGCAGCTTGAGCTAAATTATATGGTCAGTGTAGACTAGTGGTTCCCAACCTGTGGTCTGTGGACCACCAGTGGTCTGCAAGAACGAAAATATGGTCCGCGGCCACAACAAACTACGAAACCACACATAAATGAGAACGGGTCTTGTGAAACCCTCTTATAGTGCCAAGGCAATGGGAATGTCGAGAGGAGAGAGGCTGACTAACTATAAAAGATTACTACTACCACATCAGCTCTAGATTATTAAATATGGCTTTCTGTGGGTGAGCAGATGGCCACTACTGGATGGCATATGTTCTCTGTCAGAAGCTATTGCTGATGTGGCCTATCCAGTGCAGTTTTCTGAATCAGCCCCCCAAATAACCAAACCGAATCTGAAGTTGACCAAAAACCGATTTGTAGCCCTTTTGGTACTCGTTGGAGAGTGGTCCCTGGTCAAGTGCTCCCTGGTCAAATTGGTCGTTGGTCAAAATGGTCCTTGGTCAAGCAGTCCCTGGTCAAAGGGATCCTTGGTCAAGTGGTCCCTGATCAAAGTGGTCATTGGTCAAGTAGTCATTGGTCAAGTGGTCCCTGGTCAAAGTGGTCCCTGATCAAAGTGGTCATTGGTCAAGTGGTCCCTGGTCAGAAGGATCCTTGATCATGTGGTCCCTGATCAAAGTGGTCCCTTGTCAATTGGTCCCTGATCAAAGTTGTCATTGGTCAAGTAGTCATTGGTCAAGTGGTCCCTGGTCAAAGTGGTCCATGGTCAGAGTTGTCCCTGGTTGAAAAAAGATTGGGAACCATAGATGTTGATACACATAGTGCTGTTCACACTGCATTATTTGGCAGTGTAGATCCATCCTCAGATGCCTCACGCAGAGGCTAGTGTTTCATGAAGAGAGCCCTTTCCTTGGGCTGAGTGAAGCAACTGCCTCAGGCGGCCGATGAGTGGGAAGGCAGGAATCGCAGCTCCTCGGCTATTTAGTCTGATCCTCTTGGACCTCTCCACCTTCTTGGAAGAGAGAGATTTGTGCCTCATAAACTTACCTTAAACCTCTGCTGCCATTTCATTGCCAGTGTTTTGTTGCCAGTCCAATCAGCTTCTGTACATGGAGGGAGTGTTTTGCGTGCTTTCTTGCCCTTGGACTTGGGCATGGAAACGTCTCAATGGGCACACACTTTGAAATTAGATAGCAGGGTAGTAAATGTATGTTAAGCCAAGACAGAAACTGAATTTGGAAGATGGGAAACCACTGGCCTACCGAGCAGCGAGTCTTTGGACTTTGCTGAAGGCTTTGTTTACACATCTTTTGATTGAACGAGAAAACTCACGACTGATTTGCATGGCTTTGTTTGCTTTCCCAGAGGGGGGAGAAAATAGTATTTTTAACCAAACTCTCGTTTGATGGCTCGCTTTTTGTTTTTCCTCGTGAATCTTTGAACACTTTGAATGACTTACCTCAGTGTCAATACCTTGCAATACAAAACCCGGTAACCTCACAAAACTCCACACTTCATCACAAAATGAAGTAAATGAAGCTAGCTAAAGCGGATGCTGTTCAAAGCAACTAACTTGCCATTAAGGATTATTTTATAGCATGGGATATTTTAAAGTATTTATTCCAAATGATATTTTACTCTTGTACTCAAGAATATTTTTTTGGTTGTTGTTTCTAGATTTTTTGTGACATGAATATTTCAGTGCTGCTTTATTATGATTTTTTTTGTTCTGATGGGTTTCTTGTTCCTTGCTTGTAAATTGCCTTTTTTATGGTATAAGGTCAATGGGAATTGCTGTTTATAAATTAAAATGCTTCTGAAGCACACGTCGGCCTCCGTGTCTTGAGTTTATTTAGCTGAGAGAAATAATAATAATAATAATAATACTTAATTTATACCCCGCTACCATCTCCCCAAGGGACTTGGTGCAGCTTACATGAGGTCAAGCCCAACAGTACATCAGTAAAAACAATAACAACAGTAATACAAATTAATACATAACTCATAATAAAAATAAGCAGTAAACATTAACAATAACACGATAACATTTAAAAACCTATGGCTGGGCCAAATGTAATAATTAAAAATTTAAAAATAATGCTGAGCATGACGGTGGGATAGAAAATTTTCAGAGAGGGATGGGGCGTGCAGACAATCCTAGATCACTAATAAAGTGCATTTAGGCACATATTGCTGGCAATTTCCATATTCTGGGAAGGCACACTGGAACAACCATGTTTTCAGGCTCCTCCTAAAGACTGCCAGGGTTGGGGCATGCCTGATGTCCTTGGGGAGTGAGTTCCAGAGTTGAGGGGCCACCATTGAGAAGACCCTTTCCCTCGTCTCCACCAATTGCGCCTGCGATGGAGGTGGGAGCACGAGCAGGGCCTCTCCAGATGATCGAAGATCGTGTGGGTTCGTACACAGAAATGCGGTCACGCAGGTAGGCGGGTCCCAAACCGTTTAGAGCTTTGTAGGTAAGAACCTGCACCTTGAATTGGGACCGGAAAATGAACGGCACCCAATGGAGCTCCTTAAACAGGAGGGTTGACCGCTTCCTGTAAGGAGCACCAGTTAACAATCTGGCCGCTGCCCGTTGAACCAATTGAAATTTCTGGGCCGTTTTCAAGGGCAGCCCCACGTAGAGTGCATTACAGTAGTCCAATCTGGAGATGGCTAAGGCATGGACCACCCTGGCCAGATTCGCTTTCATGAGGTACGGTCACAGTTGGCGCACAAGTCTTAGTTGTGCAAAGGCCCTCCTGGCCACCGCCGACGCCTGAGCTTCAAGCGTAAGTGATGAGTCCAGGAGGACACCCAAACTGCGGACCTATGACTTCAAGGGGAGTGCAACCCCGTCCAACACAGGTTGCCACCCTATACCCCGATCTGATTTGCGATCAACCAGGAGGACCTCTGTCTTTCCATCACTACCACTGCCAATGGTAAATGTCATTTCCCATCCACTGATATGTTCAGTTTCCCTTGAAAATCATCTAAGTCAGTGGCTAGAACTGCACTGAAAATGTGTATTTTCGAGCATGAAAAGCGAACAAAATATGCCAAATAAAATGCAGGGCACACTTAGGAATCAAATAGAGAGGATTCTCTTTCTGTCTGTCTTTCTTTCTTTGCCGCTAGAGGGTGCAGGAAGATCTAAGGATGAGTTTCCCCATTGAGTCTAGACACTCAGAATTCCCTGCTTTTGATCTTTGTTATCTGTTGCCTTCATATAACAGAGATAAATGTTCAGAGAAGATGCAAAGAGGGGAACAGAGCAGCAAGACTACAAAGTGTGCATTATGCATTGAATGCTTGTATTTGGTTTCATGGCAACCTTCAGGATATGGAAAATCTAGGGTGCTGCCCATATTTGGCACTGAAGTGTTAGGCCTGATTATTACAGGGTGCAGCAGCATAACTTCCTTTTTTTCAAAACTTAATTAAACCCATTGTATGAATCAGATTTTTTTTATAATGTAGGCACATACTTAAAGTTTTGTTTTACGTAGTTTTGAAGATCAAATTAGGTAGGTGACGTCCCCCATTCTCCATACACTGAGTAAACTGATTTCTGGCATTTGTCATGACTCTTGCCAGCATAGCAGGCGTTATGTTGGCAATTCCTTCCTGGACATTGGTCTTCAACTCTTGTAGGATCCTTGGACGGTTCACATAAACACGGGATTTCAAAAAACCCCATAGAAAACAATCACAAGGGGCCAAATCTGGAGAGCAGGCCGGCCACTCCAAATCCCCCCTAATTGAGATGAGGCGCACTGGGAAGTGTGCCCTCAAAACAGCCATCAATGCTCTTAAAGTGTGTGCAGTTGCACCGTCTTGTTGGAACCACATGTCCCCTAAGTCCAACCCATCTAGCCGTGCGGGGAAAAATTCCTGTAACATGTTTACATACCGGTCCGAATTCACTGTCACTGAGACTGGGAGGGATAGCCAACACTCCAGAGGACAGAAGCAGAATTCAAAACGATCTTGACAGATTAGAGAGATGGGCCAAAACTAACAAAATGAAGTTCAACAGTGACAAATGCAAGATACTCCACTTAGGCAAAAAAAACGAAATGCAAAGATACAGAATGGGGGACAATGCCTGGCTCGAGAGCAGTACGTGTGAAAAAGATCTTGGAGTCCTCGTGGACAACAAGTTAAACATGAGCCAACAATGTGATGTGGCGGCAAAAAAAGCCAATGGGATTTTGGC